AGTGGTATGATGGGCTGGGAATGTGGCTGATATTTGGCTGAGGAGATGGTCTTATATATGGGCTGATTATAGGACCAGGCAGACCTTAGCCAAACAGATTGTGGCTGAGGACACTGAGTTTCCATTATCAGAAACAGTATCTCTGTTGCTATAGAGACCAGAGTGAGTGTCTGGATAACAGAGCTTCAGATAGGACACCCCAAGGGCTACCCATGGTGTACCCTGAAGGAGACTTCCCACTGCAGAGGCAATAGTAGAGTGCACTTGGAAATTTTCTCTAGTAAGTTATTAGAGGTTATAATCTTGCTCATATAACGATGTAGATGTGAAAAAGTATTACAGTGTCTTTGTTGCTATAATAAATCTAAACTTTTTCATATGCTTCTATGAAAGTAAGAATGGGGAAATCATTTTGCTTTTTATGTTCTGTCTAAAAAAAACAATGCCTGTCCTCAAATTATGAAGATTTTCTGCAATGTTTTCTTCTAGGTTTTGGTTTTTGCTTTTATGTCCAGATCTGTTCTCCATTTTGAGTTAGGTTTTTATATTGTGTAAGACTTGAGATTTATTTTTTTTTCCATGTGAATAAATGTGTGGGTCTATTTCTAGACTCTGTTCAGCTCCACTAATATGCCAATATCATACAGTCATGGTTACTTTGGTTTTAAAATTTTGATAATCAATTAGTATACATCTTCAAATCTTGTTCTTTCTTTTAAAATTTATTCTGGATTTTGTGGGTTCTTTTGCAGTTACATATGAATACTAGAAACAGATGTTAATTTCAATTAGAAAAGACTTCTGGAATTTTGTTGAAACTATCAATCAGGGCCTCCCCTGGTGGCACAGGCGGTTGAGCGCCGTGCTATGAAACTGTCCGCAGCTTCTGCTGCACAGGTTCAACCCCGGCTTGCCGTCGAGGGTCCCACATTGCGCAACAGACCTCTCCTGTTTCGCCCGCTGCTCCCCTCAGCAGTGTATTCCGTCAGTCTGCCTGTTCTGTTCCTCGTTCTGTCTCTGGTGAATCCTCTCACCCACCTGCGGATCTGGCCTGTACCCCGGTTCATGTATAAATAAATGAATCTTTAAAAAAGAAAAAGAAACTATCAATCAACTGGGGTTATAGCTTTAAGTCTCCCTTGGAATGAAGGTGGTCTCTCCTTCCTTCCTTCCCTTTTTTCCCCACCTCTTCCTCTTTTTTTCTCTCTCTGTCCCTCCTTCCTTCTTTTCTCTTAGCACAGCTTTGTAGTTTTTAGTGTAAAATCATGCAAATATTATGTTAAAATTATTTCTAAGAATGTCATAGTTTTGATACTACTGTAAAGTAGTATTTTAAAATTTCTGTTTTTATTTGCCACAAATATATAGAAATATAATTGATTATAAAAGAAAAAAACAGTAAATTCAAGTTCATTAAAATTAATAGCTTCTGCCCTTCAAAAATGTACCATGGAAAAATGAATGGACAAACCACAGAATGGGAGAAAACATTTGCAATACCTGTATCTACAAAGGACTTGTGTTTAAAACCTACAAAGAATTCTTATATTTCAATATAAGAAGACTAACTACCCAGTTAAAAATGGGCATGATTTTTGAACAAAGACTCCACAAAAGAAGGCATATTAATAGTTAATAATTTCATGATTTATGTTAATTTAAAATGCTGAACATGGGCCTCCCCTGGTGGCGCAGGTGGTTGAACACTGTGCTGTGAAGCTGTCCGCAGCCTCTACAGCACTGGCGAGGGTCCCACATGGCGAGCAGATCTCTCCTGTCTCGCCTGCTGCTCCCCTCAGCAGTGTATTTCTTCAGTCTGCCTGTTCTGTTTCCCGCTCTGTCTCTGGTAAATCCTCTCACCCTCCTGTGCATCTGGCCTGTACCCCGGTTCTTGTACAAATAAATAAAAATAAATCTTTAAAAAATAAATAAAATGCTGAACATCATTAATTAGCAGGGAAGTATAAATTGAAACTACAGTGGAATCCACTGTAGAGTAGAGCAACTGGAACTCTCATTTGTAATATCATACAGCTATCCTGAAAACCAGTTTTGTATTTTCTTCTCAAGTAAATGCTAAACACTTAAAATATGACCAACAATTTCATTTCTAGGTATTTACTCAAGAGAACAGAAACACATGCCCACAAAAAGAATTACATAGATCCTCAATGAAATTTTATTCATAATGATCTAAAATTCGAAACAACCCTATTGTCAATCAACAGATGAATAAATAAACAAATTATAGTAAGTTCACAGTTCAGATTATATCTCAGCAATGAAAAGGAATCAACTACAGATATATGCTACCACCTGGAGTCAACTCAAAACAGAATTTTGAAAAGAAGGAGGATTAAATGAAATAAGAATATATCCCAACCTGTATTATTAGGGAATAATCTTAGAGGAACACCTTAAGATAGGGCCTCTCTTGTTTCAAACTTTTTTTCTCCCTGAAACGTGAGTGAGATGCAGAAGGTAATTATATTTTAGTGGCAGGATGTCAAAATGAAATTGGAGGCTGCTTAAAATAAACAATTACATGATGGCTACATGCTTCCTTTGCTCCTAGTTTTGGGTAGACTGTGAACTCAGACTTTCCATTATATTTGTACAACATCAGGTGGGTTAATTATTTACCAAAACGCTGGGGCTAATATTCCAGGGAAGCTGCAAACTGCAGCAGTCTCTAGGAGACTAGGTTAACCTTGTCTAACCTGGGCATTTTTTCTGAGTGTGTCCAAATCTAGTAATTGACCTGCTTTGAAAGAAAAGCACAGGAGGTTTGTGAGCAGCTATAGGCCTTCACGTTAACCTGTGGGTACCCGCCTCTCTTAGTGGCGATCACCCACACCAAGGAGTGCTTCAGCTTTACCATTGCGTGGATGCCTGTTGATAGAGACGCCCAATAACAATCTTGAAATCTGGAAGGCAGATGGGCAAGTGCACTGTCCAAAATCTGCCAGAGTCACTCGTTTCCCTTTGGATTCAGATGCAGCTTTGTCACGCGAGTCCCTTCACTTCAGCTTCATCATCGTGAAAGTGGGGGGGAATAGCACCCATTTCTGAGGCCAGAGAAGCTCACGGCGACTACGGGTGAGAAATTATTAATAATTGTCTCGTGTAGCAGCGCTCTTGGAGAAGTCACTTCCCGCCCCCGGAGCGCTGTGAGGCAGCCCCTGTTCTGTCGTTTTTACCTGGGGCCACTCTCACTACACAGACCGCAGTTTATTATGATTTGACCCTTAGATTTCTAATTTGAATTTATGTAATTGTATTTTTCAAAAGGACCTCACAAATCAGTTCTTACAAAATGTGGCAATGTCGAAGGCAGATCACTCAAGTAAAACAAATGAAAATGGAGTCCTCTGGTGGGAGCAAAGGAAAAATTAATGTTGCTTCATATTTTTGTAAAGACCTAGAACATTTTATTTTGTCAGGGGCTTATTATCTACAGTGTGTCTTCTGCAGAGTCATCACCTAATTTTTAATGTGCAGTGTCAATAAACGATGCCGGCATATTTAGTCCTTGAGGAACCAGCAAAATATTTACTCTGCTCATATTTACACTGCCAGAGTAGACCTGAAAAATCTGTTTATGGGAATTATATATGAAAAGATATTGAATACAGTTTTCAAAATGAGTTATAACTTAATTATACCCACCCCATTAGATTTGGTTTTTGCTTATTCTTTCCATTTTTTTGGTGACAACTGCAAGTATACAACTTTACAGAAGTTTTACGTAGCTTCCCTCACAATGTACACAGAAATGTAGTTTTCCTTTTGCTTTAACATTGCATCGTAAATATTTTCCCATATTACAAAATGATCTTTTAAAAATGATTTTAAAGGATAATATATTAGTCCATTTGTTTAATGTATCATAAGTATCTAAACACTCCCCAGCGGTTGAGCATTTAGGTTGTTTCTGTTTCTTATGTTATTTGTAACAGGGCTATTATATTATTTGCCTGTAGTGCTCAATGTCTCTAAAATGTTTTCTTAGGATAACTTTCCAGAGATGGGGTTACTTTTTTTTTTTCTTCCTGCCATCATGTCTTTTAATTTTTTTAGTGTGAAAGATTTTCTTAAAATTAAATTTATTTATTTTCTTACATTCTTGTTAATTTTGGGGCAGTATTTGATTTCTCCCCTGACATGCAGTCCATCTACTTCTCCCACCACCACAGCACCCACGATCCATCACCACAGTCTCTGGTGCTCTTCCTTCCCCTGTTTTGATCACTCTCCCTCCCTCTTCCCTACTGTATGCCTCAGATTTATGGTCAGCTTGCACGTTTTGTCTTCTTCCTGGGGACAACTTTTTAAGGACTATGAGGGACTTTCAAATTCTTGATCCATTGTACTATATTGCTTTCGACCGGGCTGTTGCCCAGCCCTGCCTGCTTCAGTGCTCTTTAACAGCAGTATGTGAGGATGGTCTTATGCTGGACAGTTATTGGTAGGTGGATTTTCCACCTTAAGTTGGAAAACAGTTTAACCTTGGGGCTATTTTCAGGGAAAAACTTATGAAGAGGATAGGACTATATACCAAGGCAGAGGTTTCTAAGCTTTGGCATATGTGTACAATCAATTCTATAATTTCTTGGCACTTAATCACTCAATTGTGTATCATTCGTGAGTTATTACATTGTGTATGTTTATATGTACGTGTCGCTGAAATCTGGAGTGCCAGTCTTACTGAGATTGTCAGAGAAAGCATGAGACACAAAGCATCCCATATCTGTGACTCACTTGTGGCTGTTCAAGAAACTTTGATTTATGGAAATATGCTGTAGGCAGAAGATGAAAATCTTATTGCATCCAGGGGCAGGTGTTGTATGTGAAAGGAACAGCAACTGAGTCGGACAACACAGATCTTTCAAGGGAATTTGGAACTCAGATTTTTAAATATCTTAGTCTGTTCAGGATGCTACAACAAAAATATAAAATGGCTGACTGAAACAACAAACCTTTATTTCTCATAACTCTAGAAGCTGGGAAGCCCAAGATCAAGGTGCTGGCAGATGCTGTGACTGTCTTCTCGTTGGCAGAAGGAACAAAGAAGCTCTCAGGTCACTTTTATAAAGGCACTAATTCCTTTCTATGAGGGCAGAGTCCTCATGATGTAATAACCCCAAAGGTCCCATGTCTAAATGCCATTGCTTTGGGAAGAAGGTTTTAGCATTTGGGGAAACACATTCATTCTATGACATTAGGTAAATATCATAGTTACATGTGGCAACTAATACAACCATTTTAGAAAGACTGTAGAACAAAAGTGTTCTAAAGTTTGATTTGTTCCTGACCATTAGCCTGTGCCTGCTCTCATCTGAATCTAACTATAATCCCATGAAGCAGGAGGGGGTGGGGTGATGAGAGTGGGGGTGGTGAAACAAATGAGCAAGCTAAAGCTCAGGAATTAACATTCAACAGTTGACTGACTGCCTGTCCCACTGGGATGTAAGGTTCTTGAAGGCAGGGCCATTGTTTGTTTTGCTCACTGCTCTAAGCCCTGCTCCTAGAATAGCTCTGGTGCATACTGGATACTCAATAAATATTTATTGCATTGAGAAGTGATGGATAAATGAAGCAGGTTAAGTCATCTGACAAATAACATCTTTGTTTTTGTACCAGATACTCATGTTTCATCTAATTTTAATTGCACAACTTTCTGTGAGAATAATACTACTGCCGTTTTATCAACATAAATGAGTTAACTGAGGCTTAGAGAGGCTTAGAGCTGCCATAAAATAGTCAGGACCAGGAAGGACCCAGATCGTTCTTTGATTGCCGATTCTTTCAACTGTTCTACACTACCACCCTGCCACCATAGTCATCGATATTGATCATCTCCCTCTCAGTCTCCTAAAGCAGCAATTTTAGAACAATGCCTCACATCTCCCTGGAAAAGGGGTCTGCATTCATCCTCTGTAAAGGAGAGGCAGTAGATACTTCAGGCTTTGCTAGCCACGTGTTCTTTGGCATCATTTGCTGTTGCAGCACAAAAGCAAAGACCAAATGCATGCAAATGGCTGTGTGTATGTTTCAGTGAAATTTTATTTACTAAGAGCATCAGCAGCCAAGTTTTGCTTGGGGGCTATAGTTTTCAGACTCTTGCCCAATAAGACAAATTATCTGTATATACAAGTGTGGTAGATTTTTAAAATTAATTTTCTTTGAGTGTTTCATTTTGGGGAAGAAAATAGTTGACTAAAACAGTATTTATCCATGACACAAAGTTAGATTTGGGAGGGGTTAATCCTGAAGTTGAGTGTGATGATTCTTTTGGAAGTTTGGTTTTGCTTTGAAAGCAAAGATAACTTCATGGCTGATCAAGGCAGTGACCTACAAAAATGTTTCAGGGAAATACCTATGGCACCACTTAAAGAACTGCATTTCTAACTGCATCAGCTAAACTGCAGTTAATGCTATTCTACTGATGCCACCCCAAGAATTATAGGTGTATGATTAGACAAAAATACCAATGAATTTTATCAAACATTAAGGCAATGCAGTGGAAGCAATGAGGGCATGTGTTAAGACAAGAAGTCTTGCAACAAGGGCCTCCCTGGTGGCACAGGAGTTAAAGACACAGCACAATCAATCTGTCGCCAGCCACTGCAGCAGGAGTTCGATACCCAGCCATGGAGCAACCCACATGGTGCAGCAGACCTCTCCTGACTTGCCCTGCTGCTCCCTTCAGTAGTTTTTCAGTAGATCTGCCTGTTCTGGTCCCCACTCTGTCTCTGGTGAATCCTCTCACCCCCCACACCTCTGGCTTACACCCAGTTCTTGCATGCATAAATAAATAAATCTTTAAAAAAAAAAAAAACTTGTAACAAGACCCAGGCTTATATTCCATTTCTGCTGCTTAGTAACTAAAAATAATTGGGAAAATTACTCTCTCTAGCCTGAGTTTCTATATCTGTAAACTAGGGGTTAGTCATACCTACTTTCTATGGTTGTCAGGAGGGTTAAATGAGGCACTACTTCAGTTGTTCACCCTGTGTCCTTTGTCAGTCTCCCCACATTCACAGGCAGAGACCCAACAGACCCAAGAGGGAGACCCATGCTTGAAAGTGAGCAACCTAAATGGTCCATGTGAGAATCACTCTTGTTGCTTTGGTCTCACTGTCTTTCTTTGCTGTGTATTTGCTCTAACTCACAGGTGCCCAGTTTGTTCCTGTGGCTTCAGAGAGGCACACTCACAAGACGCCAGTCTGGTTTTTATTATCTATTTATTTATTTTTTTAAAGATTTATTTATTTATTTATTTATTTATTTATTTATTTATTTATACAAGCACTGGGTACAGTCAGAAGCGTGGGAGGGTGAGAGAATTCACCAGAGCCAGAGCAGGGAACAGAACAGGCAGACTGATGAAATACCCTGCTGAGGGGAGCAGCAGGCACGGCAGGAGAGGTCTTTCGCGCCATGTGGGACCCTTGCAGGCAGCCGGGGATCGAACGGCACTGCAGAGGCTGTGGGCAGCTTCTCAGCCCAGTGCTCAACCACTGCGCCACCAGGGGAGGCCCCACTCTGGTTTTTAAAGCAAATTAAAAAAAGAGTCAGATTGGTTTGACAAAACTTACCAGGTGGTACATAGCCTATGTTGTCTAAATAACACATGTTTTCTCATATTTGAAATGTGTTTCACTTAATCAATATAAATTAATTAATCAATATAAATTAATTAATATTGGTTTCTTCTGGTGAGCATAATAAAATTATACCAACAACTGGGTGGTTTGCTCAATCCAATGGGAAAAGCATCTGTCAAAGCTCTTGTTTAGTTCCTTAAAAATTCATCCCTAACTATAATAATGAAGCCTATTTGATATCAAAGAATACTTTAAGGAACACTTTATGGTGTCTGTGGGGCTAGAATACAGGCACAGTTTAGTTGGGTCCTCAGCTCAGGGTCTCACGGGCTGCAATCAAAGTCTTGGCCAGGTTGTGCTCTTCATTGGAGGCTGGACTAAGGAAAAAAATCTGCTTCCAAGCTTACCTGGGATGTTGGTAAGTCCATTTTCTTTGTGCTAAGGGATGGAGCAATTTAGCTTGTTGCTGTTGCCTGGAGACTGTCCTCAGCACCCATGGGCTTCCACATTTCCCTACCTCATGGCCCAGCCACTCCATAGGCAGGTGTGACACGGCTACTTGCTTCTTTCAGGCCTGAGGGAGAATAAGAGGAGGCTGCTAGTGAGGCTAAACACTTACAGAGCGTGATGTAGCAGTGGGATGACATGTGGACAAGAGCAAGAGAAGGCTGGCCCCAGGGGGTGACCTAGAGCCAGTCCAGCAGCAGGAGCCATGCGATTCGGCTGCCATGGAATCCCCAGTGCCCAGACACAGTGTGTGATGCATGGTAGACATGCACACGTTGTGGTAGCTGAACAAATGAATGTTACAGGCATTACTTCTTTAAATCAAGTATTTTTAAATTTTTTTCCCCCAACTCTACAGTTTTCCTTTTGGTTTTATTACATGTTTGATGTATAGGAATATTAAAAATTAATTTAGATGCTTCAACAAAATTTTAGTTTCTTCCATTACTTTATTTATTATTTTGTTTTATTTTTTTGAGAATTATTTATTTATTTATACAACCACTGAGTACAGTCAGAAGCGCAGGAAGGTGAGAGAATTCACCAGAGCCAGAGCAGGAAACAGAACAGGCAGACTGACGATATACACTGCTGAGGGGAGCAGCGGGCGCGGCAGGAGAGGTCTGTTGCGCCATGTGGGACCCTTGCCAGCAGCTGGGGATTGAACTGGTGCTGCAGAGGTTTCAGGCAGCTTTGCAGTCCAGCGCTCAACCGCTGCGCCACCAAGGGAGGCCCTCTTCCATTACTTTAGATCTCAGGAATCCTCCTGTCTAGAGATCAGATGTGTGCTTGCCTGTATTTCTACTTTTTTGCCTATATTTTCACTTTGATTTTTAATTACTGCTTTTGTGTATGTGTTTGACGCTAATCTATCAATAGAAGGTTAACAACTAAATGGAGAGTTGTAATTTGACAGAGAGAGCAATCTTTTCTTCTTCACCCATCTTTGCCTCCTTGTAAGTTTTATTGAGTTACTTTGTATCAGCTTGTGAGCTTTCTTGGTTTCATTTATTTCTCATTCTCTTCTTGTTTCAATTGCACACTTTAAAAATCATAGCATTCTTAATCAGAAATATCCAAGAGGTTATTGTCAGAATCATTCAGTATAATAATAAGAATATGATCTATTCCATTGAAATAGAGAGTTCAAAATACAGAGGCTCAAATAAAATTGAAAAACTTGTACTAGTGAGAGATGTATCAAGTCCTGATTCCATTGGGTCATTTGGAGAACTCACTCATTCTGTCCTGTGGCTCTTCCAAGCCCCAGGGTAATGTCCTGGTTGGTGTAAAGTGTCTCATCTCTACCTCCATGTCTGTGGGTAAGGGGGTGGTGGAAGTCCTGTGAACATACCTGTGCCTTTGAGCTGATGAATCAAAAGTGGCATGTATTACTTTTCTCTCTTCCTTTTCATTAAATGAAACCATGTTGCCACATTCACCTTCAAGAAAGGCTAGGGAAATGATATCAAGGTGTGTGCATGTGGAGTTAGCTAAAACTTGAGAAAATCTGTTATTTTAAGAAAGGAGAATTGGCCTCAGTCCAGTTTTATAATTATAAATAATCATATTGAACAGGTAAACAGTAGTATTTATCATTTTAACCATGCAAAAAGTCAACCATTGAATATGGCAATAAAATACAAATATGTCCCGATTTTTCATTTTAGATGGCCAGTAATCCATACACCAGGTAGCATTCTATGCTAATCTCGAAGACCAACAGGAAGTCACTGGACAGCTAATTATTCCAAGATCATAACTGGGTTGTTGGAGTGATTTGGAAAATAAGAAAAAAGAATTGAAGCCATGGCAAAAGTAAATAGAGCTCGGTCTACCTCCCCTCCAGATGGAGGCTGGGGCTGGATGATCGTGGCTGGCTGTTTCCTGGTCACCATCTGCACTCGGGCAGTAACCAGGTATGTGGGATTTTATTCTTGATTTTGAAAGATGATCTGGCTTGTATTATTTTTTAAAATCTGCTTCATTCTATTTCTGAGCCTGATATTGTGAAAATAGATGTGTATATTATATATTATAGGTTTTGAGTGTGTGTGTGTGTATTTCCTTTGAGTGCTCATATTCCTCTTTCTTTGCAATGTGGAATGTGATTTCCTGACACTTAAAAGTCTTGGAGAGGGTCTCTTCTGTAATATCTGACACATAAACATGGAGTGTTAGGATATTTTTAGACTAAATTTATGGCTATTCCAGCCACATGTTTTCTTAAGCAGCTCATCCCAGAGAGGAAAAAAAAAAATAAAGTCAAAATAGTCCTTGCAGACTTCTTGGCTCACCAGATACTGAATCCTTGTACTAAAACCTAGAATTTAAATTATTTTGCTTCATTTTGCATTTGGTTCTAATGGTGGAGGCTGAGTTCTAGGTGGAAGGGGAGTGACAGTATAATTACTTGGAGTCTTTTCTTGCTTGCTTATTCAGGTCTCCTCTGTTTCCCTTTTATCCAAGGGTGTAGGGTTGAATATACTTAAGGGGAGGAGTGTTCCTTGAGGTTAATTTGTCATTTATATTTTAAATAAATACTTGAAATCCACACATGCTAACTCTTTTTGCTCCAGGTGCTTCCATTCAAATCAAAAGCTGTGCAGCTCTTCTCTGGTAACATACCCTTGGCAGCAAAGGGAAACACTTTGCATGAATAACTTTATTTGATAGCCTCATCAATAAAAGCATTTATGTTCCCTCTCTTAGCAAATATGCAATGCAGAAAAGAAGCAGGATGTTTGTTTTTTGCTGTAATAGGGTTGGTTGACTTTTTTTTTTTTAAGATTTATTTATGCATACAAGAGCTGGGGCACAGGCCAGAGGTGTGGGGGGTTGGGAGGACTCATCAGAGACAGAGTGGGGAACAGAACAGGCAAATTGACTGAAATACACTGATGAGGGGAGCAGTGGGCGAGTCAGGAGAGGTCTGCTGCACCATGTCGGTTGCTCCCTGGCCAGCTGGGGATCAAACTCATGCTGCAGAGGTTGCTGACAGCTTCATAGTTTGTTCTTAACCCCTTGTGCCACCAGGGAGGCCCCAGGGTTGGCTGACTACTAACAATAGATTTGTAATTAGTGTGATTGGCATTGAATCTGATTTTCCTCCCCTTTACATCATGGATCTTGAGTTCTGGGTGTGAGGAGGTTGTAGAGTTCAAAGGAATCTCTTTCATCTTGGTTCTTAAATGTGGAAGCTTCCATTATTCCCATGCTGGGAAAGTTCTGGAAGTGAGCTCAATGCTTTATAAGAAGGACTGCGAGAAACCAGAAAAGAGGGTTGTAAGTGGCAGCAGAGGTTATTGGGAGGGGCTGGGAAGATGATACTTGAACAATATAAGCTTTGAAGCAAAAAGTGTGAAGTCACAGCTGGCATTGGACTCTAAATGTCATGAACTAGGAAGAAACCAAGAGAATTGGAGACAAGGATGAGGAAAACAGCCTATGGTGTGATTTTTCAATTCTGAGAATTGGTCTATTGAGCAATTAATTCTTTTCTTTTTTCCAGTTTTATTTAGAAATAATTTACATACACCACTATATAAGTTATAGGTGCACATTATGGTTTGATTTACCTATGTTATGAAATAATTATCATAATAGGTTAGCTAATATTGGTCTTCTTTTTAGACACAATAAAAAGAAAAAAAGGAAAAATTTCTTTTCTCCTTGTGGTGAGAACTGTTGGGATTTACTTTCTTAACAACTTCCCCGTATATCATATAGTAGTGTTATAGCTGTCATTATGTTATGTTTTACACCCCTAGTATTTATTTATCTTATAGCCAAAAGTCTGGATCTTTTTACCACTTCGTTCCAATTCCCCCAATTCCCCACCCCCAACCTTTCACATCTGGAAACCACAAGGCTGATGTGTTTCTGTAAGTTTTTTCTTTTTTAGAGTCCACATATAAGTGAGATCATACAGTGTTTATTTTTCCTCTGTGTGATTTATATCACTTAGCATGATACCTTGAAGGCCCATGCATATTGTTGCAAAACAGTAAGATCTCCTTGTTTTTTATGACTGAATACTAGTCATATATCTGCATCTTGTTTGGAAAAATGTCTGTTCAGGTCCTTTGTCAATTTTTAATTGGATCTTTTTAAAAAAATATTGACTTGAAAATTCTTTATTTTTTTCTGTATTAACTGGTTATTGGATATGTGATTTGCAAATATTTTCTCCAGTTCTATAAGCTGTCTTCACTTTATTAATTATTTCTTTGCTGGGCACCATGTGGGTAGCTCTCTGGCTGGGGATCGAACTCATGCTACAGTTGCTGCGGATAACTTCATAGAGTTGTGTCTTAACCCCTTGTGCCACAAGGGAGGCCCAACGTTCTATTTGTAAATGGGCAAATTGAGTTGGAGTTGATGGTTGAAAAGCACCGTTTGATTTAAATGTTTAAAGAAACATGAGTGCCTATATCTGTTTTTCTCTCAGTCTTCTGAGTCCAAATTAACTTAATTGCAATAATTGTCTGGAGTCCTGTGGAACTGTGAATCTCTTTTAACATTAGCTGGATTTCTGTAAATAATTGCCTATGTTAGCTGAGCACATACTCTCTGTTTGTTGGCATTGTTCCAGGCACTTTTCATCAATTAAATCATTTAATCTTCATAATAACACATAGAGGCTGAATAGTGTGTCCAAAGTTATATGATTACTAAGTGGCAGTATTTTAATCACTAAGCTATACTGCCCAGTGGATACTTTACTTAATGGACAACTTCATCAACTAGAAACAAGTCTTTACCAAATGCCAGATATTGGCAGCATCCTGCTGTATGGGAACCAAAGAAAAATTTTATAGTGGGGTCACATGATGGAATAGTAAGCATGTTGGCCCCTTGAAAGAAAGTATCTATGAAACTATTATTTAATAGCAGATAACACTTAGATGATAGTTTGTTTCCACATTCTTAGAGAGGGAGCCTATCAAAAGCTGAAGATGTTAGGAGTTGTTCCTTGCGGTGGCATGATCTAGTCCATTCTGACTGGTACTGCCATGCTTCCCTAAATACTTGCTTAGTAGATGAGGAAGCTGACCCTGAGAGATTAAGACGCTTTATCAAAACTCTCATTTACCTAGTGTGAGAATAAGAGCTCAGAATCCAGTTTTCCTGACATCACAAATATTCTAAAAGATAGCAAAAGTAATGTCTGAAATGAGAAGCAAATGCAATCCCAAAATTTGTTTTCTCCAAGATTCTGTCTGTGTTTAGAAAGCATATATCAGGAAAAGTTACCATTTGAAAAGTGGGGAACAAATGGGAAGTGATATAATAATTCTTGCCCTAGTTCATGAAAGTCACAGTCACTAAATTTTAACCTCTGGCAAGCCTACTCACACGTTTAGAGAAGAATCTCAGGTGTTTTTTGAGTTTTTCACACCAAAGTTTGACTGATATGGCTGGTTTAATCAGTTAAGAAAAGCATCAAGGAGAAAACAAAACAGTAGAAGATAACAAAAAAAGTAACACAAATATTAAATCCTCTACAATGTTGAGTGAAGATTTCAAAATATCCTATCACCCCCTGTCCTTCCATATCTCCAGCTTCAGCATCTCCCCCTAACGAATTCTTTCTCTCAGTGTATAAATGCAGGCTCTTCCCATCTCTACTTTCCCGTATGTAGTCACATGTATCTATGTAGCTTGCATCCAGTTTTCCTCTTCCCTTTCTCATTTGTGTTCTGGAATTTGGCACACAACTATTTAAAATTCTTTTTTTTAATTTTTAAAACTTTATTTATTTATTTATTATTTTTATATTATTTTTTTATTTTTTATATCAGTGTTCATTTTTAAACAATATTTGCTTCCCCGCACCCCCTCAAGTGTAGTCTCCATAGAGTTTCCTTCCCCAGTGCACCCGTGCACCATCACCTCAGTCCCCTGTGCTCCTCCCTCCCTCTGATCCCTCTCCCTCCTCCTCCCCTGCAGGATGTCTCTGGTTTATGATTGTCTGTTTTTGCTTTGTTGTGTTTTGTACTGTTACTATTTTTTACACTGATGTCTTATTTGGTTTCCCTATATTCCTGCTATAAGTGAGACCATCTGATATTTTTCTTTTTCCTTCTGGCTTATTTCACTGAGCATAATTCCTTCTAGCTCCATCCCCATTGCTGCGAATGGCATGAGTTTATCTTTTGGTCCCTCTCTCTCCCCCTCCCCTGTTATATGTCTCTGAATCCAAAATATCTAAATCCCATACTTTTAATGAATGCATGACCTATACATTTAAAGTTCTTTATCTTCCAGTTACTTCTCGACGAACTTTAATCCTTCCCTTCCTTCCCTCTTTCCTTCCTTCCATACCTTGAGCCATGAACAATATTTAATGATCACCCAGTACATTAAAAGTATGGGATTTAGATATTTGGGATTCAGAGACATATAACAGGGGAGGGGGAGGGAGGGGGACCAAAACAGGGGAGGGAAAAGTGCAAGAGACTATGTATGGTAAAGGTTCGCGGGTGACTTGGTGGGAATTTTGTGGTGGGAATTTTATGGGGACTACACCTGCAAGGAAAAATCAACCATTATATAAAAGTGAACAATGATGTAAAAAATATGTATATATTTAAATAAATATATTTAATAAAAATAAGATATTTGGGATTCAGTGTAAGACATGGTCTTTGCTGTCACAGAGCAACAACTAGTAAAGAAATACAAGGGGAATTGCCATACAGTGTGGTAACTGTTCTGCATGTAGTGAAAACACTTAAGGGAGGTTTTATGTCCAGACTGAGGTCATCAGAGAGGCCTTCTTGGAAGAGTTGACTAGTGTCTTGAGATTAAAAGGATGAGAAGATTCAGAGGGCATTCTAAAAAGAAAAAAGATCTATTTTTATTACTTAAATTTATGAAAAAGCACGGGTGGCTTGCTACGAGTAATAGTTCAGTCTGTCTCAAGTGAAGAAAGCAGAGACAATAAGATGGGAAGAAAAGAGAGACAATAAGAAGGGCCAACCCCTGTAGGGTCTAACAAGGGTCTATCAAGTCATGCTAGATAGAGTCTGGAAGATGAGGATCTGATCTATGTTCTAGTAAGGACATTCTAGCCACTGAGTGTAGAATGTACTGAAGATCCAAATGGGATTTCAGTAAAGATCACTCAGGAGGGTTTTGGTTGCAGGAGAGAAGAGAGGTGTTGCAATGAATGATGAATGAAAAGGTGGGTAAAGACACGTGGAGGCTTTTGAGAGATGTGCATAAGGCAGGAGAAGTAGAAGCTGACAACTGATTACATCAGTGCTTCTCAACCAGGCTGATTTCTATTTGCAGGGGAATATTTGGCAGTGTCTGGAGATGTTTTGAGTACAGGCCAGGGATACTGTTACACACCCTAAAATGCACAGGACAGGCCCCACTGCAAGGAATTAATTGGCCCAATATGGCAATAATGCTTCAGTTGAGGAACCCTGGATGAAGGATAACTTAACTATTTTGATGATGAAGCTACATCCAACAAATTAGTCCTCACTTAAATGGAAGGCCTAGTGGTTAGGAAAATATAGCAGACATTTTACTACCAGTCTAGTGATCTTTAGGAGGTTAAGAAACCTCATAAAGTCTTTTTTGTTGTTGCTGAATTAACATCAGATTAAAATTGTTGCAGTTCATTCATGCTATAAAAAAACTTCTGCAATATTTTAATTAAATTTAAATTTACATCATCAGCCAAGTGGTTAATGTTGTCCTTTTTGTATTGTTAGTTGAGATTATGTTTCAGCTAGTTAGTCAGATTACGTTCCAAGCTCTAATCAATTATTCATATAGCATCAGATCTGCTGCAGCTTGTTGTCTGGCTTCTTAAATCAGTGGAGAGAGGACCACTTAGTGAAACTGTTTCGTGCAGTGCTCAGGGTGGGAGACAAGAATGGGACTGAGCTGAACGGGTGGCGGCCAGGTAGGTGCTTTAGCTGCTGGGTGAGTAGCAGCAGACTGGGTGCGGCTGTCAGTGTCCTCAGAGCCCTGTCACCTCCAGAGAGCTGCTGTTCCTACTGCCTTCCAAGGACTGCCGGAGGGGTACACAAAGGCCCCGCCATCTCATTAGGGATCAGTGCAGGATTTGTCAGGCCTGTATCAGTTTCACCTCTCTCTTCCCCTAATCCTGCTTCCATCTCTTTCCTTCTGCAAGTGTAGATTCTTTATACCCTGCATGTCAAGCTCCATCCAGCATCTGCTGGGTTGGGACAACTTAGCACCCCATTCCTTCCCCTTACTCTTTCCTGTCACCAGAAATGGCAACCAGTTGTGGGACCCAGTGCAAAATCAAAGTGCTTGTTCAAAAAGCAAGAAAAAGACACGCTGTTAGGACTAAAATAAAAAGCGTTTCTTTTTTTCAGTAGTGTCTCTTGATTTTTCCTGGTGTTTTTAATTTGCTACTTAGAGTTATTCTCAGTAAAGAAGAATAGAAGTGTTAAATTACTAGCACAAACTTGCCATGCACCTGTATATTACAGGTAAGCCCATCTTTGCTTTTCCTGCCTGTGATGGGCTAGTACAGAGAAGTAACATGAGTAGGAAAGGATGTAATAGGAATTCTTGGCCCTTTGTGTTTCCTAGAATAGCAGCTTCTCCTTTCTGCATTAAAAGCAAGTTTTGATTTGAAAGGAAAGCACGGCCTCTCTTGGGAGGGAAATCCTTCATCCCCCCAGTGCTAACTCAGTCACAGATGACACCCACTTACCTTGTACCTGAGCACCCACTCATCACCTGTCTCCCGTGCTCACAGGACCTCTGTAATGCCACATGTGATGTGCACGCTCTATTGTCTCCTTGCACTTCATGTTCCACTGGGCTTCACTTACAAAACACAATTCAAAGATCAAATTATTAGACATTTTGAGATGGTGACAGTTGAGTTAAACCTTGTTTTAAGCATTTGAATGCCAGCTTCTGGGCAACTGTATAGGTTGCACTCTCATAAAGCTGGTCCTGCCTAACACACCTGTGCTGATTCTCCTCCCTCTATACTTCTTCATCACTTATCTTCAATCCAACAGCAACTGGAGAGGAGAGGGTGAGTAAAATAACAAGCTACTAGGGGCTACTGAAGCTCAATGAATTGTAAGTTAGCCCTCTCTGGACAGACTGATTACCTTCTATCTCATCCCCAAGCCACAGGTGTGATTTCTTCCCCTGCTATGACTTAGTTCTAAAAGCTTCCTGTCTGAGTTAGGACATCACACTAATCTCTATGAGATTTATTCTGAGTTGTATAGTGATGCAAACTGTTGCTTTTGAATCATTTATGCATTGTTTTTCTTAACTAATTAGCTATTTTCAACATAAAAATATCTGTCTCTGTATGCCTCCCTCCATACCTATGTGTATGCATATTATACACACACATAATTCTTGATTGCATAAAAAATATCATGTTCAATGTCAATAATTCAAAATGCAGTATAGAGACAAAAGCCTCACTAGTCACATGTAACGACTAGACACATTTTGGTTTATATGCTTTCATACTTTTCCATTTACATGACCTGTTTTTTTTTTTTTTTAATTTTTGTGTAGAAGAACTGGGGTGTAGGCCAGAGTTGCAGGGAGTAAGAGGATTCACCAAAGAGTGGGAAGCAGAACAAGCATATATTAAAATACACTGCTAAGGGGAGCAGTGGGTGAGACAGGAGAGGTCTGCTGAACCATGTGTGGGTTAGCTCCCTGGGGATGGAACTCAGGCCCCAGTGGTGCTAGTCCCAAGACTTAACCCCTAGGCCGTCAAGAAGAGCCCTTACGTGACCTGTTTATATGGAAACAAAACAAAACAAAACAAAACACTCTCTAAACTATCTTGTAAGTTACTTTTTAACTTAACATTATATTGGGAGTTATTACCCAATCAATAAATACAGATAAAATAATTTTTAATACCTAACATTTCTTGTATTGCTATGCCATAGTTTATTTAAACAGTGTCTTGTTGATGGTCTGCTGGTTGGCTGCAATATTTGGTTCTTATAAGTAATTCTGCAGAATATATCCTTTTATATATTTATCTCATTCTAATCTTCATCCATTTATTAACTTTTATTAAAACCTAGAATTGAAATTACTAGGTGATGTATAACTTGTCAAAGTTTAACTTGTTTAACAACCTCTTAAAAGTTACAGACATTGAAGAATCCATCCATTGATGGGTATTTAGATGGTTTCCATATCTCAGCTATTGCAAGTAATGCTGCAATGAAGACAGGGATGAATGGATAAAGGAGAGGTATTACATACACAATGTAACACTATTCAGTTATGGAGAGCACATGAAGTATTACCATTGTGACAACATGTATGGACCCTGAGCATATTATGCTTAGTGAAGTAAGTTAGATGGAGAAAGACAAATACCATATGATTTTCATTCATAGAAAATAAAATAAACATGAATAAAACAAAACCAAACTCTTAGATACAGAGAACAAATGGGTGGTTACCAGAGAAGAAGTGGAGGAGGGTAAACAGGTAAAGGGGTTGGTTATATGGTGGAGGACAGAAAGTAAACTGTTGGGGGGTGATCATAATGTGGTATTTACTAGTGTTAAAGTATAATGCTGTAAGCTGGAAACTTACAAACTTATGCAGTTATATAAACCAATGTTCCTTCAACAAAAATTTATTTATTTTTTTTAAAGATTTTTTTATTTATTTATACAAGCACTGGATACAGTCAGAAGTGCGGGAGGGTGAGAGAATTCACCAGAGCCAGAGAGGAGAGCAGAGTAGGCAGACTGACGAGGTACACTGCTGAGGGGAGCAGTGGGTGGCAGGAGAGGTCTGCGTGCCATGTAGGATCCTCGCCTGGTGGTGGGGGATCAAATCGGTGCTGCAGAGGCTGCAGGCAGCTTCGCAACCCAGTGCTCAACCGCTGCGCCACCAGGGAGGCCCCAACAAAAATTTAAAAAAGAATTCACATTTTTGATCTGCCCTCTTTTTTTAAAAAAGATTTATTTATTTATGCATACAAGAATTGTGGTACAGGCCAGAGGTGGAGGGGGTGGGTGAGAGGATTCACCAGAGACAGAGTGGGGAACAGAACAGGCGGAACTATTGAAATATACTGCTGATGGGAGCAGCAGGTGAGACAAGAGAGTGTGAGACAAGAGAGGTCTGCTGCACCATGTGGGTAGCTTCCTGGCCCGCTGGGGATCGAGGCTGTGGAGAGCTTCACAGTACTGTGCTGAACCGCTTGTGCCACCTGCCCTCTTTTCCATCAGATCTTCCCCATAGGAATGGTCTTCACATCTGTTTGGCTTCCTCAGCTCCCATAATGGATATACACTTATTCTTATCCTTCATAATAGTCCAATGGTCAGCTTATGAATTCCTACTTATTATGGTCCAGCAGCAAACCACTGAAAATCAGTTAAAACCCAGAGACTTGAATAGCTGATTGAAACAAAATTTTAAACTCTGATTCAAATCCATTCAAGATTTTTTTTGTATAAAATACTTTCACTCTATTTTTCAGATGTATTTCAATTTTTTTTGTGGAGTTCCAAACATACTTTGCTCAGGATTATGCGCAAACAGCTTGGATCCATTCCATTGTAGACTGTGTGACTATGCTCTGTGGTGAGTATTACTTACCAGGGACACACTATTATTGTCTACACTCAAATTGGATCTGACAATGACCTTCTACTGCTTTTGATTACAAGTTTTCTTAAGGAGAGGGCAATGATAAAGAGTGAGTGGTAAAGATTATATATAAAGAAAATGTTGGTCCTACCTTCAGCCAAACCCAACCACACGTTGGTTTCAGCCAATGTCAGACGGAACGGGTAGTTCATACTCTTGAAAAGATATATAGATTTTGTCTTTCCATATAGAGATAAGGTTCTGGGCATCATAGGACTTGTCCAGGTTCTGTAAACAGTTAACTGTACAATATATGTTTGGCTCCTTTCTTCCAAATGCTGTGGTCCTGTAAGTCTCTAGTTATGTAAAAGTCACTGGATACAAAGCGAGCCATTTCTATGTGCTCTCCTTAAAAATATATGTGCTGTGTCAAAAATATGTGTGCTGTGTTCAAGTCTTGTTGTCATTGTATTTCCTTGCCACAGGGTTAAAAAATTGGCTCATGGATCTCATCATTTATCATGCATTAATCTTTATTCTCAGAGAAGTATTGGGAACTGATAGGATGATGCAATCAAAAGAGAAGCACAGCCCCCATGGCTGTTATTCTATCTTGGAAACCTCAAAAGTGCTATTTAGGGTGCACAGAATGTTCTAGAAGTTCCTGCAATCTCTCATTCCATCTTCACAGTAGAGGAAAACTAACCTTGGGGTTTTTCTTTTTATAAATTTCAATCCAAAGTTATTAAATTGGTGTCTTAGTTTCTGAGATTGGGTCAAGTTGAAATGATCTATTTTCAGACTAGACCCATTTAATTATTTCATTGAGCTGAATCCTGAGTATTTTAGAAACCCATCATTCCTCTTTCTTTTTTTAACAGTAAGGCCATCACTTGGTTTTCAGGGTGACATAGTTGGTCACAGCCAACTTTGTATGAGCACCCTGAGAGAGCCATGTCATCTTTCTCAGAGGGTACAGGTGACCCATTTCCGTCACTGTTATCTTTTGGAGGATAATTTTAGAAATAAATGACCTTCAGTGACCGATGTGGTCACAATGACCATGTGAAACACTGAGCTAACGCAGGGTCATGTTAGATAAAACATATTTAAATTCCCTGCAAAGACTGAGACCTGTTGTCCCAGTCACCAGTCACCACTTGCTCACCTGTTGAGCTCAGAGCATGGACAGAGGTCATAGCATCACCCCCAGGACACCCACTGGGGATGAACAGAGAAGTGAATGTTGAGTTTGGTGTAAATTTGTCATTTTCTAATATCTATAGCAGCAACAACATGGATAAATAGATATATTTCAGGAGATTCCTATTCTCCAGACAGGAGATTGCTATTCCCCTAGTCTATAGACTAGATAGGCCACTGTTTTAATGAGACAGGAGACATCAGAATGATGGCTAATTTTATCTTGCACATTTGAGTTGAGTTAGGCCCCAGTTTCAACCCGATCAATACAAAGATTATATACCACAGATACTAAAGAATTGGTTCTGCTGACTTTGTTACCAGGAGTACTGGCATTAGCATGAATTGTTCCTTAGAAAGAAATTCATGGACTTTCCCCACTCATCACCCCTGCAATCAGTCTGGGAGACCCAAGAAGCCACAGTAACAGGGTGAAATAACTCTGCCTTTGGTTTCAGGTGTGTTGAGCTATACTTCTTGGTGATCTTGGGCATATCATATTCCCTTCAATTTCTCCTTGGTCTCTTCCAACTTTAATTAAACTATAAGCCTGGAAGTTGGAATAATTCTGATATTTTAAACTATCCATAAAATGGGGCCAATCATAATGTTGCTGTGGACATCAAGCATTTTCCTAGATTTTCTGGGCACTGATTTCTTATTCACAGGGTTTCCCAAAGCCTGAAAGCAGGGATTTATCTGTGATCTTTCTCTCTAGCCTCTTTCTGTGTAACGCTGCCGGCTCCACATTGCTGCCCTCTTTCCTTTTCCACCATTTTAACGGTCATAATTATTGCTAAGGGTGCCTGACTAATACTATATGAAACATAGAAGGCATAGCAAGTGACATATAACTTAAACAAAGTATCTACCCACTGTTTAAAAAACAGCCCCTAATTTTGGAATCATGACTATACTGAAGTGTCAATGAGGAATGAGCACTGGAGTGCAAATCAGAAGACTTGATCATAACTCCATCTTTGTTACTTACTGTCCATGTAACTGTGCACAAGTTTTTTCCTGTCTATAGTTTTATCTGTAGAATGAGTGGGGTGGGCTTTATGATTTAAAGTTTCATCCATCACTGCTCTGCCTGTGCAACACTGTAGCCTTCTGACAGTGCCCTCAAGCCTTTCTATTTATTATTTAATAATTTCTGTTTATCATTGTTTTTGAAGCACCACTTGGGAGTCTTGTCAGTAACCACTTATCCTGCCAAGTGGGAATCATCCTGGGTGGCTTGCTTGCATCTACTGGTCTCATCCTGGGCTCATTTGCCACCAGCCTGAAGCACCTCTACCTCACTCTTGGCATTCTTACAGGTAAGGGTGCTTTGTACCACTGTGTCACCCTTCCCCATTCAGCAGTTATCACACACATCGACAGAAAAGTAATTCATAAAATATGAATTTTGTTAGATCACAATTTTGCTGACTTAGCTTATGTCTACCTATCTGGCAGTTAAAACTGCTGGAAATGCACTTGATTATACTACTGTAATGAAAAAGCTTCACTCCTTTCATTCAGTTAAATAAGCAAAATGGCAGCTGGCTTTCCCTTTGGCAGCAGAGCATGGCTGAGATTTTGTATTCAGAAAGAACAAGACATTAGCCATGGCCCCTTTCGGCAGCGATAATTTTCCCAATGTCTTTGCCAAGACATTGCAATACTATATGTTGTCGAGCAGAGTCAGTCCTGTTTTGTAGTGAGTATCGTTGTCCACTATATGGGGCTTTACAATTTAGAAAAGAAAGTCCCTTGTGGATATTACTGTACTACATATTCTCTCTCAATGTTCTAGAACTATATTTCAGAGAACCAGAGTGAACTTTGTAGAAGAGAAGCAACATGTCTGCCTTCCATAAGTCCTGCGGGGTTGTTATAGGGCAGCCCCGATATTGAACAGGTTGCCTGGCTGTGGGTCCTCACCCATGTGCTTAAAAGGGACTTATAATACTCCACTACAGGCATACACAAAAGATTAATAAAAGGTTTATTTACAAGGGATTTTAATGCGAGTCCTGCAGACCTAGTGTGCTTTATGGTGACCAACGCAAGAAAAATTACTTTGGGCTTGTCAACCACGGGTGAAGCTTGGAAACCACATTGGGCGCCAGCTGTTATAGGGCAGCCCCGATATTGAACGGGTTGCCTGGCTGTGGGTCCTCACCCATGCGCTTAAAAGGGACTTAATAATACTCCACTACAGACACACACAAAAGGTTAATAAAAGGTTTATTTACAAGGGAAAAGGAAATAAGGAAAATGTACAACTCAGGGAGAAAATAGGGAAATAAAGTCTTTAATGCGTCCTACCTGATCCGCCAACCTGGAAACCCAAAGGCACTCTCAGAGCTGGCCGGACACTGCGAGCTGGCGGAGAGCCAAAATTGGGGAACCCCTTCAAAGCCCACATGTCTGGCTTTATACCAACCTGGCTGCTTAACCCCACCCTCAGGTCCCAGCCACCTTCCCTTTGGTGGTGATGGGATTTGGAGTTCCCAGTGTCTTTGGCTTTGGCCTGGGGTGGGGTGGAGTCCACAAAGCCTATATGGAATTAGCTTTAGGACATCATTTCCCCCCCTAACAGGGTCAAGGTGGAAGTGGTTAATGGAACTGTAATAGCAGTTGCTCCATCTCAGAGAGTGGGAAGAGGAGAATTAACTGCTCTCTGTCATCAGGGTAGCAAGATCAGGCCACAAAAGGATATAATCGCAGACTGAGGCTACATATCTAGCTGTCAGCTAAAAATTGTGTGTGTCCCAGGTAGCCCAAGGGGCCTGACAATGAGTATGTCCTATCATCCCAGTTCGCAGAGCATGTCCTGGTGTTAGCACTGAGAGTCTAACATCTGGGAAACTCTCAGTCCAGCAAATTAGAATCATGTAATTAGAATCAAAATGAGAATCTCTGCAGTTGGGAACAGGAGCTGAAGGCAGTTCACCTTTTTCTTCCTTGATATTTTAGATGCCACCAATTCCAGGTTTTGAGCCCTTCAGATTTTCTTGATTTAAAAAGAATAAGAGGGCCTCCCCAGTGGCGCAGCGGTTGAGCGCTGGGTTGCGAAGCTGCTGGCGACCTCTGCGGCGCCGGTTCGATCCTCGGCTGCTCCCTGGCCATGGGAGGAGGGTCCCACATGGCGTGCAGACCTCTCCTGCCGCCCGCTGCTCCCCTCAGCAGTGTACTTCGGTCCTTCTGCCTGCTCTGCTCCCCGCTCTGGCTCTGGTGAACTCTCTCACCCTCCCGCGCTTCTGACTGTACCCAGTGCATGTATAAACAAAACGAACGAACAAACAAACAAACAAACAAACAAATAAATAAATAAATACATGCCTTAAAAAAAATAAAAAGAATAAGAACTAAAAATCTTTAAAGAGGTTTCCTGCTGACTTTAAGGGGATTTTTCACTTAACTCTGTTCATGTGTAAAATGGGCATGATGTTGCCCAATTATGTGAAATTACTCTGGAACTTTTATAGGGTCATATGTGCTATTTAAACCCTAATTCCAGAGTGGTCCAGATTATCAGAGTTGTGTCTTCAAAGGTAGTGAAAAGTTGAGGTAATTCTCTGGATATTTAAGGTATTGGGGATGATTGTCTGATTTTTTGAAATTAGGTTGTAGAATAGTTTTTAAGTTCCTTATTTCATTTTGTTCAAGAAGTCATATTTCCTTAAGGACTTTCTACCCAAGGAAAAAAGCCATATTTATGCTGTCCTTCTGAATTGTGGATGGCTGGTGAGGGGAAACTCATTTTCAGCTTGCTGTGGAAGACAGATTTAAAAGGGTTTAACAGGACCTCCCTGGTGGTGCACAGGGTTAAGACACAACCTATGAAGCTGTCTGCAGCCACTGCAACGCAAGTTCGATCCTCGGCGAGGGAGCTCCCCACATGGCGCAGCAGACCTCTCCTGACTCACCTGCTGCTCCCCTCGGCAGTGTATTTCAGTCAGTCTGCCTGTTTTTCTTCCCGCTTTGTCTCTGGTGAATCCTCTTACCCCCTGCAACTGTGGTCTATACCCCAGTTCTTGTATGCATAAGTAAATAAATCTTAAAAAAAAAAAAGGGTTTAACAGAAGGCCTGATTCTCTTTAATTCAATTTTATTCTGAAATATTTTCTTCCTACCCTCCTTCCCTCCTTCCCTGCCCTTCCCTGCCCACCTCTCCCCTCCCCCTTCTCTCTTTAAGTTATTTTTCCCCACCACAGTGCACCCACCACCAGCTCGCCCTGCATTGCACCATAGACCACTTCGCCTCCCTCCTCTCTGCTCTTTCTCCTCCATATCCCTCCCCGCTTGGTGTCTCAGTTCTGTAGTCAGCTGTCAAGGGTGAGCTTTTCAGCTGAAGTGTTTTCTTTCCCTGGCTGTTGACCGTGTACCAACGCTCACAGAACCCTCTCCATCCCCAGGTCTTGGATTTGCACTTTGTTACTCTCCAGCTATTGCCATGGTTGGCAAGTATTTCAGAAGACGGAAAGCCCTCGCTTACGGCATCGCCATGTCAGGAAGCGGCATTGGCACTTTCATCCTGGCCCCGGTGGTTCAGCTCCTCATCGAACAGTTTTCCTGGAGGGGAGCATTACTCATCCTCGGGGGCTTTGTTTTGAACCTCTGTGTTTGCGGGGCCCTGATGCGGCCAATTACTCTGAAAGAGGACCGGATAAGTCCAGAGCAGAGTCATGTGTGCCCAGCTACAAAGCAAGACTGTAAGCAGGAGTCTCCCTGTGCAACTTTGACCAAAGCATGGACGCAGACCTGCCCTTGTTGCTCCTTGCAGCAGGAATACAGCTTTTTACTGATGTCAGACTTCGTGGTGTTAGCCATCTCTGTTCTGTTTATGGCTTATGGCTGCAGCCCTCTCTTTGTGTACCTGGTGCCTTACGCTTTGAGTGTCGGAGTGAGTCACCAGCAAGCTGCTTTTCTTATGTCCATGCTTGGGGTGATTGACATTGTTGGCAATATCACGTTTGGATGGCTAACCGACAGGAGGTAAAACCTGCGAAACCACAATAGGTTCCCTGCCAGGGGACGTTAAGCTTTGAGTTTCCCCTCACCTCCTCACCCGATTGGATATTAACAAGTCTTCTTGCTTGAAGGGAGGCAACTCCCTTGCAGGTTCTTCTAGTCAGAGGCTGGCAAAATTTTTCTGCCAAAGGCCAGAGAGTAAACATTTTTGGCTCTGTGGGCACTTTAGGATCACGCGCACCCAACTCTGCTGTTGTGGCACAGAAGCAGCACAGACAGTGAACAGATGCAGGTGGCCACATGCCAATAAGACTTGGACACTGAAATTTGAGTTTCTCATAGAGTCTTTACATGTTGCAAAGTATTGTTCTTTAACTTTTTCCCCAACCATTCAAAAATTGAAAAATCATTCTTAGTTCACAGTTAGTACAAAACCAGGAGGTGGGCTGGATTTTGGCAGTTTGTCAACCCCTGTTCTAGATGGTTTCGCATGGTGGGTATGCCAAAATTGCAGAAGCCTACAGTAACTACAAGTTCTGGTGAGAGATTAATTCCACCCTAAATTAGTTCTCAGGTGAGATGACTTCTGGCTGGGTATTGTGCAGTTTCTTTTGAAACACCCCAGAGACTATCAATGGAAAGAAGAATAGAATCCAGTGAGACAAGAGAATCAGGTGCAATAAAAATGCATTATTTTTAGTTACTTAATAATGCTTGCCAGTGCAAATAGCAAATCATTTCATTATAAGTTTAAGCTTAGAAGCCAAAGTTATAAGAACTGCACTAAGTATTTTCTTCAGCATGTCTGCTTGGGTTGAAGAGAACAAGCCACTCTAATTCTCTTAAATGATGTCCTCATAGCACTTGAGCTGTGATCTGGGACCAGTTGGTTCCTCACATTTTATGTCTTTAGTAATTAATTAGGATCCAACTGCCATTCTTTAGCATAATGAATGCTAAATTTAGGATTAATTCCACATTGCTAATGGCTAAGGAAGAAGGAGGAGAGCAAGGGGTATCTCTACAGTCAAATAACTCAACAAGAACCAGCACAGCATGGGTCTGATACTGGGTTCTCTAGTCTGAAATATACAAAACCTAAGTTTTTGTGCTAACTCTGTCCCTTATTATCTCTGTAATCTAGGAGAAAAAAATCACCTAATCCTCTGATCCTCAAGGGTCTTCATCTGTAAAATGGGCCTGTGTAACAGTTGCCTATTAGTCTTATACCATTTTCTGAGGTTCCAATGGGACAATGGGTGGGAAAATGTTTATAAAGCACAAACTCCTGGTGCTGATGTTATATAGTCTCTGAAATAATTGCTATCACGATGGGTTTGGAGTTACTGAGGGGAAATGCAAAGGAAGTACTGCTGGGGAGGGCTTGACGTTACACTTAGTTCTCTTCCCCTTAGTATGATTCCTTGGGTTACTGAGCATGTCTGATATGCCATGTACAAAGGGATAATGTTTCTGAAGTCATGCAGCATGGAGGACTGCTGGAAACACTAGTCCACTGATGCTCTACATGTTATTTCACAACTCTCCTTAGAGTGACCCTATGAGATAGGTAACACTCCCATTTATAGCTACATATATTGAAGTTAGAGTTAGGCAATTAGTTAGGTGATAAAACTGGATTGAAACTCCTGTATTTCTAATTTTAGAGTATATATTCTTTTCTACCACACTTTGTTTCAGGAGATAAATCCTTGGATTTGCATACACAAATAGAAATAAAGGCAGTCAGACAAGGTGGATAACACACAATAGGGAAGCCACTTCAAGAAGTCACTGCGTTGCTCACTGCTGCATGGGCACAGTTCTGAAGCTGTCCGACAGGTCCTGTGGTTCCTGCACTCATCCTTGTTCTTCAAATCCACAGGTGTCTGAAGAATTACCAGTGCATTTGCTACCTCTTTGCCGTGGGACTAGATGGGCTCTGCTATCTCTGTCTCCCGATGCTTCAGAGTTTCCCCCTGCTTTTGCCTTTCTCTTGTACCTTTGGCTACTTTGACGGTGCCTACGTGACTTTAATCCCAGTAGTGACTGCAGAAATCGTGGGGACCACCTCTTTGTCATCAGCACTGGGTGTGGTGTACTTCCTTCATGCAGTGCCATACTTGGTGAGCCCACCCATCGCAGGTAAGTTTCCAGAGAGAATCCCAGATCTTCTCTTTGTTGCATTGATATGGGAACCCTGAACTCAAGTGAGGTTTGGATGTGACTTGGGAAAGAGTGAAGGAGGTAGCGATGCAAGGCCACCAACACATCATGGTCTCATTTACATCCTTGTTTTATAATCTCCCAATCAAGTGGAGGCCTTAGACCACCTGAAAGAAGAAAGTTCCAAATTGGGTTCTTGATTTCATTCCACACTAAAGATGGGAACAATGGAATGGAACAGCTGTTTAGACTTACGAATAAGTCAGGTACATTCAGAGGGAAGCCTGGTGGGTGTACAGGATTCTGCTGGTGAGTGTGGGCAGTGAGGCTGGCATGACTAAGTACTGGTGTCCCAGTGGAGTGTCTTGAGTGCCAACCAAGGGAGCCGGGGTCCTATATTCTTCAGAGACTATTGATGGTATAGTTTTTATGCACAGAAGTATTGTGGTAAAGGGCATTTAAAAAAAAAAATGTGATCTAGCAATTGATCTGGAACTACAGGGAAAAACAGGATTCCATTTTCATAGTTTAAGAGCAAACTGATAAAGTCTTGAACTAGGGCTGATGCAGCAGAAATGGAAATGACTCTGGGGGCAAGGGACAGTTTTGGGAAAAGTCAACTGAATTTAGCATCTGGAGGTGATTGAGGGAAAGAAGTCAGAGATAACTCAGAAAAGAATGGCCTGGTTGAAAGAAAAAGGGAAGTTGGTGAAAGTATCTTTGCCAGAAAAAGTAATGACTTCAATGTTTTGACATACTCAAATATCTGAACTACCCACTGAAATGCTCAATAGAGCTGTTTAAAGATGAAATCTAAGCTTTAGAGGAAGGTCAGATTTGGGAATCATCACATAAAGCATCTAGAATGTCTTATAAACTGTAAAATGCATTCAAAATGTAAAGCATGATTAAACAAGTAATTCAACAAATATTTATTGCTTGTGTACATCAACATGGTGTCTGGCTTTGTGAGCATAGCAGTAGACAGGTCAGAACTGGTTCCTCCTTCCAGAGTATGTGGTCTAGAACAGTGTCTCTCAGAATGAGGTGGTGGAACTACTTGCATCAGGCCTCAGAACCCCCTCGGGCCCTTGTTAAAATGCACATTACTTGCCCTTCCTACTGTGATCTGAATCTAGTGGTGTGTGTACAGTCTCACTCCATTTTCTGGTGATGCCCGTGTATAGACTGAACAGCTGGTCCAGATGATTCCTTCCTAAATTAAAGCTGAGTGAATGAAGGTCTCTGATGAAAGGCAAAAGAGAAATAAGCTACACATTTGAGTAGAAGGAAGAAAGGGATTTTTTTTTTAAGAAGGCAGGATTTCGGCTTCAGTTGCTGTTGTGAATAGTTTACAGTAATTTCCAAATTCCAGCACTTGCTAAAGCAAAAAACTAGGGGACACTGCCACTTGAATGTTGCAGATGGACTTCCCTGAGCAGTTAAAACTCCCCAGAATAGAACTATATGTTTAGTGCTTTATTTTTGAAAACTGCACTTGAAATGTAGTCATCCTCTCCCTCTATAGTCAATTATTGTCGTTACCAACTTTCAGGAGCCATATAATTCTGTTAAAAAAGTCACAATACATAAATGGGATTGGGATTCCCAGGATCCTTTTCTCAGTCCTCCGCTTTTGTTTGGCAAATCAGATATTATACTCATTACCAGGTATTAGAGGACTAGGAGGTGCATTCTTATTGAAATGTTGCCTTTAGCTAGCTACCTTTAAAACAAAAACTCTCAGTCTCTTCTGTTTGATGCTACAGGAACACATAAGGAAATCATACAATAACTGAAATTAACTACTGAGAGTAGTTTGGATTGCTGGAAACTTCGTGAGGCTTATCACAATGTCTGCCTGCCATTTTTTAATCAATGGAACTGAAGTGGGTAGGGGAGAAGCCACACGCTTCTCTGATGAATTTTTCTGGGCATTATGTAAAGTTTGGATGAATTTTTAAGAACTTTTAAATCACAAAATAATTGCTTGTCGAGGTCTAATTTTATCTCATTTGACTCTCTCTCTGATCATTGTGGCACATGTCTTACATAGCATATGCCCTGGAGTGCCTCAAAATTTAGACCTTGAATAGATACTGAGATTAATTTGTTGCAACGAGAGATGTAATAGCAGGATTATGTCTTCTGAAGTCCACACCTGCAATTTCTAAAATGTTTTGAAGTTTCTATTTTCAAGTCGGATGGGGTACAGTGGCTGGATCCAAATGAATATTTGTATTCCACTTCGCCCAGAAGCATGTGGTGTTACAGTAGTGCGCACAGACGTTGGGAATACTACTAGGATTCCGTATGATTGTATTCTCTCAACACCCTGCTAACTGGTCCCAACAGCAATCATTTGAATGATGCTATTTTTATCTTTTCTGTCACATCTTATGGAATTAACAATACTAATTAACTGTTATCATGTGCTTATTAAGAATATGACACTTTTCTGATAATTTAGCATAATAACAACAATCCATTTTAGAAGTCAACATTGTAATGGCGGTGTTAGCAATCCATTGTGCTTACCTTGCAATTGTCAGATCTGAGAGAGGTAAATAATTGAATTTTTGACTCAACAATATAACTCCACTGTTACTTATTCCAGGATGGCTGGTGGACACGACTGGCAGCTACACTGCAGCATTTCTTCTCTGTGGATTTTCGATGATATTTAGTTCTGTGTTGCTTGGCTTTGCTAGACTTGTAAAGAAGATGAAAAAACCCCAGCTGCGGTTTGTTGCCAAAGAATCTGATTCCAAGCTGCAGCCATGGACCAATGGGTCGGTGGCTTATTCTGTGGCGAGAGAATTAGATCAGAAAAATGGGGCCTCTGTGGCTGCGCCAGTGCCTGGCTACAACCCCATATGACCATGGCCGTGAGCCTGGGAATGAATCTTCAGGGCTGAGAGAGGTGGGACCATGTGCCTGAACACATTTGTATGTTTCCAAGCATTTTATTTTGGCTGAAACATTGCCTTTCAAGAAAATTATTATTTTGTTAACATGCCTATAGGTGAAAATAGCAAATGACAAAGCAAGTTTGACTCGCTCAGAGTTTTCTCATTTGGGACTTGGACTCAAAATTCAACTCACACCTTTTGGACAATGAGCTGCACCTCATGGACGACATGAGGATGTAACTGCTGTGGGCAGTGATCATTAGACACTGCTTCAAGACATGACTGAAGTAGATGACCCTGGTCCGCAGTTTTGTCCCAAACTTTCTGCCCCTCCATTGTCCCTGTACCATTAGGAGGTGAAAGGAAATGCTAACATACAGGTTTGCTACTTTATTATGCTGTTCGCAGAAGGAGAGTCAAGCTGTGGTGCTGGAAGGAGAAGCTGTCAAAATCTTTCCATAGGGGAGTTTCTCAGTAATGACTGTTAATTTTTTCTTTTCCACCTTGTTTTTCTTTCTTTTCCCTCTTATTCTTCCAGCCAGCCTTTCCTCTGCCAATGGGTAGATACCACTTTGAGAATCCAAAGAATCATGGACTGTCATGGCTGAAAGAGGTCTTAAGGGGTGGCTGGTTAGATCTTTTTAAAGTTGTCCACTGGAAACTAAAAACTTATTTCCTAAGACTATGCCCCAGGCATTAACTTTTGTTACCATCTCCTATAGTACTTACTCTAAATTAAGGCAAAAGTAGCAAGTCACAAGGGCAATTTCTCACCCTTACCTGCAATGTTAACACCAACACTTTCCATTTTTTTTTTTTTTTCATTAGAAATAAAACTCTGATTTAAATTGCAGACACATTCCTGTTAGGAACAGAAAAACGTTGGCAATATTCCACCTGGGCAGGAATTCAGTTCTTGAAACAGGTTTCTGGTGTTTTCTTTTCAGATCAGACATTTAGGTTCATCATTAGCTAAAAAAGACGTGTGTGGTTTTGCCTGAAGAAATATACTTCTAGAGATTCCTTTCTGTTTGTGTTAATTATGGTTCCAATGTCCACTGGTCTTCATCTTTTTTTGTAGATAATCACTGAAAATTTGGTGGACTTTTTCAGCTGAATGAGAAGTTTTAGGGGTTAGCCTCCATGTCCTAAGCCCTCTCGTTAAGTAGAGCTTTGGTCAGGGATTGCTCTCACATACTCATCGGATTAGAATAGTTTTCTCCTATTCTAAGTGCTCTACTTTTCTAGTTTGGGGATATGTTTTTGTCACAGGGTGCGGAGACAGAAGAGAAAGGACGAACCCCCAGTATGTTTCCAACCATTTTAAGTCCACAGAATTGTAAATCTAAATCCCAAGTCTTGTCACACCCATGAATGGAGGCTTGTGATACAATTGAATGGGGACTTTAATTGTTCAAAGGTTTAAAGTCTGCACCTCAAGGAAATATTTGGACCCTAAAGACCATTGACTCCTCTGTCTCCTGAGAAGCCTCACAAACGCCCTCGTAACTGCCAGGGGCACCCTGAGGAAAGACATAACTGGGAAGAAGAGCCTGGGCTGACTGAACATGTTTAACTAGAGTTTTTGCCTGTAACTGGACTATTTCATGAAATTACACATTAATACATTGCTCTCAGAATGAAACGCTGACTCGATTTTGAGTATTTCACAGTTGTTTCCTAAAAAGAAATTTGAATGCTCCTTATTTTTCTCTTTTACTTAGTTTGAGAATTTAGTTTTGAATCTATGTACTTTGTCATTTACAATTTAAAAATAAAGTTTGAAAATATTTGTAAAAAGTCAAAGTTAAAATGAAGTTATATATGTTCGGAGTAACGCTTTAATGTCATTCATTTTTTCAGCACTGTCAGTAACATTTAAATGTCAATTCTTGAATCTTAGAGTCCAAAGAGTTTTTGAACATGACTAGTTATAAATACTATACATACTTTTTCCTAGTGATGATCACAGTAAAATTTTATGTATGTGTTTCTGCAGTTTAAGTTCTCTGAAGTATCATAAGTATTCATGAATAATGAACATAGAGATAAGAGCTTTTAACAATTTGTATAAGCTATTTGGGATATTTTTACTTCATACTGGCATAAATTTATATTTTTTACTTTCCTTTTGGGAGCAGGACTAATAGGAAGGAAAATGTAAATCTTTGAGTCTACCATTGTCATCTACATAAAATTCTACTGTTAAGGTTCCATGTGCTTGTACTGTTTATTTAAAAATGGAGGGATATATGAGAATGATGTGTTTCATGAAATTAAGAACAAAATTGTAGTGGGATGATTCTACATCTTAAATTTAAATTTAAATTTAAATTTCTTTAAATTTATCTTCATATTGCTGCTTTGAATAGAAAAGCAAAAGAAACTAACTTCCGTAAAAACACTGTACCATCAAGCCTTTCTCTCCCCTGCCAGATTGTAGTTTCTCTAGTGGATCAGATACTTACTATTTTCTTATTTCAAAAGCATAATAAAATGAATTTGTAGTCGTGTTTGGAAAACCCTTTTTTCCTATTGCACAAGGGATTTTGATTGGATGGTGTGTGGACCTGTCTGGGTTATGTCAGGTTGTAGTTGTCTTATAAAGATGCAATAAGCGGGCCTCCCCAGTGGCACAGCGGTTGAGCGCTGGGTTGTGAAGCTGCCCGCAGCCTCTGCTGCGCCAGTTCAATCCCCGGCTGTTCCCCGGCCGCTCCCCAGCCACCGGAGGAGGGTCCCACATGGCGCGCAGACCTCTCCTGCCGCCCGCTGCTCCCCTCAGCAGTGTACTTCGGTCCTTCTGCCTGCTCTGCTCCCCACTCTGGCTCTGGTGAATTCTCTCACCCTCCCGCACTTCTGACTGTACCCAGTGCTTGAATAAATAAATAAATAAAATCTTAAAAAAAAAAAATAAAGATGCAATAAGCAATCACATAATTTACAAAACCCAGCCATTTATGGAGGGCTTCTAATGTGTTAGCTGCTGTGTGTGCACTTCCTATGCATTGCTGCATTCAAGCTCCATAATAACCTATATTACATTACCTATCATTTCATACATGTGGAAACTGAGGCACCAGGTCCCACAGCACATGACTTAGTGGTCATTGCACTTGAGTGCCTCTAGTGAATCCTGTGGAACTAGGAAGCTGTTTGCGGGGGCCCATCTCTTTCCTTTTGTGGCTACTCCGAGCCTCTTCCAGAAGCCACTTAGAAACAGGCCCTCTTGGGCTGTTAAAATACTTTAGATTATGCTTCAATCTTCCAATTAGTACAGGTGGGAAGACTCTAGATTGGAAATTTCTAAGAATCTTCCCAAGAGTTTGATTCTAGAAAGGTCACTACTTGCAGGCTTAGGGGTTTAATTTCCTATCTGTTGATCCAAGCTTCTCTTGGGGAGTATTTGTGTGTGTGTGTGTGTGTGTGTGTGTGTGTTGGGGAATGCCCTTTGTCCCAAAGGTGACTTCCACTTTTCTCATACCAAAGTCTACTTTCTTAATAGGACTTGAGTTCTTTCTGAAGTGTCTGCGCTATTGGCCAGTAGTGATGATGATAGGAATGTCTGTTTGGCATTTACTTTCCTGTTCCCTATGGGTATAGTTCTGAAATTGCTTCTTGAAATGAAATAATAGAAACTCAAGGTAAGGATATGAGTTTCTGTTCTCGTACTTCAGAGTTGGAGTCTTGTTTGTGTGTGCGTGTGTGTGTGTTTGTGTCTTTCCACCAATAGATTCATTTTTCCCCTGTATTTTTCTGTTGCCAGAGCTGCTCTCAGTGATAAATAACTGGGATTTGCTCCATAACACAGAAAAATATTTGGTGCAGGGAACAGGAAAATATTAAAATGATTAAAGGCTGACATTTAAAACAAAACTCTTTATTATGGAACTTTCCAAACAGATTCAAAAGTAGAAAGAAAGATAAAATAAGCTTGTACCCACCCACCAGCAACTACAATATACACATTACCCTCCCCTGGATGAAGCTATTTGAAGTATGTTGACAGGACTTGTCTTCTTATAGCTGTCAAGGAACAATTGACCTTGACAAGAAGAATTTGTTCGTGTTACTGAGGATATGGGCGATTGGTGTTGCCTGCTAATGGGCCACACTGTTATCACAAAGTGATTGGGCCCCTTTCTTGCTTTGGGCTTTGGATGTCTGAATTGCAGGTTAAAACTCTTCCTCCTTCTTCCCCCAACCCCCATGCATCTGCCTATTTGAAATTTAAGGATGTATCAAATAAATGAAAAGTGATTTTAAATTCTGGGTGATAGCCGTCATTAATTACTGTTAATTATTTACGTGTCAGAAGCCTCTTTGAGGGGTCTGGGAATTAGTGTTTGGCTAAAATCAAATAAAAAGCACTAGATTTTTGGGGTGGTTAATGTTTGGTCCACTTAAGATTTGATTGGTATTAAAAGGTACTAAATGTGGTATTTTAAAGTTCAGTCCTTTTTTTTTTTTTTTTTTTTAAAAAGAGTAATTTTTTTTTTAAGATTTATTTATTTATTTATACAAGCACTGGGTACATTCAGAAGCGCGGGAGGGTGAGAGAATTCACCAGAGCCAGAGCGGGGAGCAGAGCAGGCAGAAGGACCGAAGCACACTGCTGAGGGGAGCAGCGGGCGGCAGGAGAGGTCTGCGCGCCATGCGGGACCCTCCTCCAGTGGCCGGGGAGCAGCCGGGAATCGAACCGGCACGGCAGAGGCTGCGGGCAGCTTCGCAACCCAGCGCTCAACCGCTGCGCCACCAGGGAGGCCCTAAAGTTCAGTCCTTTTTAAAAGTTTTCCCATAAATTGTTTTGTGATGGCAGGTGTGCCCTTTTCCACTGACAGGTAGAGGTTCTCAGTTTAGGAAAGTGGATACCAATTCTCATTCCCAGAGAGTTGTTTTTGTAACTGGGCCCAGAACAGAGTCTGGGTGTGGTTCAGGGTGGTGAAGAAGTTGGGAAGGGGATGTGTGGTTACCTGGAGCTCTAGTAGGCACCTCAGGCCTCTGGGTTCAAAGTTTGCTACTCTGCCCCAGCAGAGGTGGAAGAATTTGGGCATCTGGCAACAGTTTGAAGGGGAAAGGGGAAAGCCTTTTTCAGCATCACAAAAGTTTCAGGTCTGGCTGACGTTCAGGACACACACTGGAATATGGCTTACGAGGTGGTCCAGGGCACACCTCCTGCTGAAATGAACTTGCTCATTCTACCGAGAAGCCTTGTTCTGTCAGCTCCCCTGGGCATTTTGCACTTGTTGGTCCCTAGGTATAAGAGCTTTTCACCTCTTGAGCCACAGTATAAATGTCATTTCCCTAAGAGTCCTTCTTAAACCACTGCCAAAATCTAAATTACACACCTCACCATTGCACCCAGGATTCCTTGCTCTCATAGCACCCTGGGCTTTTACTTTGAACAACATACTTTAATTATAATGACATAGTCATTGTGCATTTATTGTAAAATGTTATCTCCTTCACAAAACCACTAGCTTTCTGAGGATTGTGGTCATGGTCATATGGACATACACAACTGAGTCTAGCGCTTAACACATAGTAGGGATTCAACAAATACATGGTGAATGGATAAATGAATGAAAAGAACAAAAGAACAAATAAATGAATGAAAAAAGAATGAGTGAATAAATTGTAGAGAAGAATTGTAACACAGCAAGGATGGAGCTGATGGAAGGGCTGGGCTTGCTGGAAATTTCACGCCCAGAATGAACAGGTTATGTTAGAGGTTCCCACTTCAGTGAGTGTCAAGAGGACCCCAAAAGGAGGTGTCATGTGAACAGCAAGCAGGTGCTACAGAGTACTGAATAGCATGGGGCAGGTTTGGGGGGAGTTGGGGGTGGGATGAGGGTGGCAAAGAGCAGACTTAGTAGAAATAAATAAAACTTGATTTTGAGGACTAAATATAAAAATGGTAATGACTTCAACACAGACAGCTGTGTTGTACTCAAATGGAGCACAAGGCCTGCAGATGGGATTCCTGCTCACACAGGGGAGCCCTGGACATAGGAAAAGGTGGAGCTCATGTGTCTCATGCTTGAAAAGATACCATTTCATTTGCAGGCACCATGCAGGCTGCTTTACTTTAAAAGTAAAAGTCTATACCAGGAGTGGAAGTCACTGAAAGCAGAATCTTTTGCCTTGCCTGTGACTGGCCCCTAACTAACAGGGCTTTACTAAAAATGAGGCAGCATGTTGGCAAACACTTTGAAGAGCTGGTAAGAGAGCTCTTACCAGCTCTTATCAGGAGGGAACAGTTAATCAACCAACAACTATTTATTAAGAGCTCATCAGAAAATGGCACCATGTTATATATAATGGGGAATTAAAAATAGTACCTCCCACCCCTATTTGAAGTTTACTGCCTATTGGCAAATTGCAACTTACGCAGGTGAGACCACCATCAAGTTATTAAATGCTGACTGAGGCTAAGGATGCTGCATCCTCTGGAGGTTGGGAGGAGAAGAATTCTTTATGGGCTGGGGACATTTGAGGTAATTCTGAGGAACCCAGGTATGGGATTAAAAGGGTTGGAATCAGTTTCTAGTTTTTCAGGGGAAGAAGCCAGCCATGGGGACGGGATGTGGGGCAGCTGCTTTGGGTGGCTCTCTGAGGCCCCAGAGGACACCAAGGCCAACGCAGAAACCAACTGACTCTGATGTTCAACTTGCTCTGGTGCAGGTATCCACAGGGGTGT